CTTTTTCTTAAAGGCTGACTAAAAGTAAATTTTTCCGCATAAAAGTACCTGTTATTCGTGATTCAATTAGTTTAATAAGTCCATTAATGGTTACATTACAGTACTCTTATTACAACTTCAAAGTTACAGCATAAGATGGTTACATTTATCCCGTTCAAACGAAATCTCGAACCTTTCTCTTGATGGAGCCCGTTAGCGTCCACACAGTGGAAACGGATACGGAATCAACGCATTTCTTCCATTTTGGCTGCATTTGCTGGATGTTTTTGACTGCCCCGCCGCTTCGTCAAAGTCGTCGCTTTGAAATTTGGCCCGTATTTTTCCATTGTTTGAAATTCCGGGCATTTCGGAGGATTCATTAGCTTGGGGACAAAATCGATCTTGTTGACAGCATACCATTTCAGAACCACGTTGAAGTAGTGGCAGCTGACCAAATCGGGCCAAAAGATGACTTTGCCCCTATGCTTGCGGAAGAACGGCAATACACGCTTTTTCAGGCATTCTTCGATGTAAAATTGGGATGTCATCGTCGAGGATGTGACGAATGGTTCCGTTTTCAGGCCACAACTGCAAATCGCATGCCAAATCATGGCCTTCTTCGCGAACTTGTCGGCAAACACGAACTTGAATCTTCCCGACACATCCCCACGTCCAGTCGCGATGTAAAACTTTTGACCGGGAAGCTGCTTAAAATCGAATTTGTCGTATGTTTCGTCATCGATCAAAGTGCAGCCCTTGTACTTCGTCAAAACACGGTCGTTTTGACCACGGAATTCTGCTTCATGTGCTGGTTCGGATGTTTACTGACTTTGTACGACTTGTATCCTTCCCTTAAAAGGATGTTCCGCACCGTTTGAAAGTTGGCGTTGTACCTTCTGGCCACATCTCGGATTGAAAGACCGAGATTGGCTTTAATGCACCTTAACACCTTGCTGCGCAGCTGACAATCCTTGGTTCCAGTTTTCCGTAGGTGCGCTGATTTTTTTCTACTTTCATGGTTTCCTTGTAGGTTTTAAACACTCGACAAACTGTTATGTTCGGCATCGTAAAGTGCTTGCCAGCTTGGAACCGGACCACTCCGGATTTGCCAGGTGTTTGTGCACAGTATTATTTCTTCTTTCGAGTTCCATTTGACGTTATTTCTGAACGGGATCGACTACTTTGATCAAATTTGTACCAGTTGTTCTCTAAAAAAGTGTAAACAAACCACTGTCAAAAATTTTCGATTCCTAACACTAGAGCCGTTCTATCGGAGCTTTTTTTCGATTTAATTTCAGACTCACCCGGAAGATTTTTCGGACTTTCCATGAAATCTGAAATGACCATTTTTTACTCGGAAAAATGCTCGAAAATATTTTTTTCTGATTATTCCAAGAATTCCCTCCCAATTTGCACAGGAAATTTCTTCCATCTTTCCACGGAGGAAATTGAATTGCATTGAAAATGTGCGTTTCTTACAACTTCCACCGGAAGATTCTCCAACTTATTTTGGAGGTTTCTTCGAGTTCCCCAAGAAGTGCTTATGGTTTCCTCCTGATGGTTTTCTCGACATAATATGTGAGTTTTTTTTCTCTAGAATCTCCAGAAGACTGCTACCGGGAGATTCCTGCAATTTATCCCGGCAACTTCTTCTGACCTCCCCCAGGGCTCCTATTGACTTGCCCCGAAAGTGTCTTTTGACTTCATCCGCAAATTTATCGAAAATTTCCTCTGTTTCGTCCGACATGTTCCCAAAATCACAAAATCTTGGAAAGTTTCTGTCAGCTGCCTTCAAATTTTTCTTCTATCTTTCATAGAAAGGTTTTGGCTGGAAGTTCTCTTGAAGTTATTTTGAACCTTTCAAAAAAGTTTCCATCAGCATCCACAGAAAATTTCATTTGCCATCTCTATACGTACCAATTATGGTGTGTTTTAATTATATCCTATGGAATTCCCATAGGCTATAATTGGAATACACCATAATAGGAATGAATAGCCATGACTAGAACATCTGTCCTAGATCTGCATGCATACAATTTTCTGTAAATGGTTTCCCGTGAACTCTATTTTCAGTGAAAATGTATATTTAGTTTTATTTACCATGCATGTTCTAGCTGTTTCCCAGGAATTTTAACGAGCTTTTCAAAAATTTAAAAACATGATTTTTGGTCAAATTCACGGGAATTGATTTCCTGGATATCACTGGTAAGAATTACTTAACAGATCTGTGAAATCCAAGGGGTTGGTCACTCTACACAGTGTGCCAAAATCAAACTAGGGCACACCCGGGTGCAGTCATTGACGTTGTTTGGCACCCATGGTTTCAATTTTTATGATTTTCTAAGTTACTGGTAACACTGAACTTTTTCTGCGCCTGCGCAGTGTGCATGTGTCAAAATTTGTTATTGACGTTGCCACTCCTAGTCAAATTATTTTCAAAACAACCGTGAATCTCTACCAAGTCTCGCCAAAATCGTTACACCCGTGACGGCAGTCGCATCCACATTTCCTCCCATACGAAGAACAGCTGACAGCGGTATCTTGACCTGACCGAGGTTTCCGGCCATGGCTACACGAACTAGCGATGCAGCTCCCACGGCTGCGGCTGCTTCCAATGCTGCTGCTGGTCCGTCTTTTTTGACGAATTTTAGCAGCAGAAGGAACAGCAGCAGCAGCATTGGAATCAGCCGCAGCCGTGGGAACTGCATCGCTAATTTGTGTAGCCGTGGTCGACGCTGGAAATCTTGGGCCGGTCACGACAAGCAGTGCTTGAGTTTTAATCGAGAAGTCAACAACCAAACAAAAACTATACCATCCGACCATTCGAACTGCTTGAATGCATCCATGGCGGTGGCTGCTACATCAACCATTCAATCGTCCAACACATAATGTTGGAGGACCGTCTTGGCAAAATCTCAAATAGGTCGACAAATTTTTACTCTCGTTCCTTTTTGCACTTTTAACTAACACAATAAGAAATTATAATACCGAATCATAACATTAACTACACAGAAAAAGGAAAATCCTTTCCTTTCTCAGAAAAAAAGCTTCCGCTCTTTCAAAGCTAACGTGTTTTCGGTGTTCTCGTTACTCCACGCACCGTTCATCTTCTTGGAAGAGGAGAAGCACAGCTTCATAATGAACGGGAGTTTTGAGCATTTGTGATCATCGCGCTGTGGTTGCACTTCATGATGACGTTCACCGCCAGGGCTACGCTCGGGAACTCTACCAATCCGGAGGAGGAACTTCCCGATTTCAGCGGGAACATTCGCACTTGTGACGGGTGGCAGTCCTTGGTGGTTAATGCAGTCAGCAGCAGATCCTCGGACGGCATACGGGTGGGTTATTGAAGAAGTGGAGAATGCTATTTTTGCTGGCCTGGAAAGCGATTGTTCTTGGAGGCGCTGTAGACCTTGAAGCTGATCGAATTGTCCTGTAGGGTGTACGGGTTGGTGGACTCTGACAAGTAGTTTAGCTTGGAAAATTGGCTGGTCCGTTTCGGGTCAGCGGTGCGTCCTTCATCAGTTCGACGTTTGTTCCGGCCGGTGTTGGTTTCCAGTTTCCCGACGGATGATACTCGGGCGGTGAAAAATTCGGTGCAAATCCATTTCCTCCGCCGGCTCCCAGAAGGGTTGGTTCACTAATGATTGACGTTCGTTGTGCGGGGTCGGCCTTCCGCCGAAGATGAAAAGATCGTGTAGCAACGGTGCTCGTCCGTCGTCCGTTGCAGGCATCCTTGGAGACGGATGAATCCAGTGTGTAGTCCCAACTGAAGTCCGTGTCGTTTTTGAAAACATTAAAAAAAAAACAAAAATAAGAGCTGTTAAAATACCAGGTTGCCAAACAAGGCATTATTCACAAGCAAACAAAAGTCAGTTCAATGACTTCTTGACACTGCCGGTACAGCTGCGGCACACTGAGGTACACTGAGAAAAAAGTTGGCGCAAAACAAGTGTGTAGAGTGACCACCCCTTGGTGAAATCTTAAAAATTATAGTAGATATAAAATGTTTTCATCACGTTATTTTAATAGATTCGGCAAAGCTTGGGCACATCCATCGGCATACCTTTGGCATACCTTCGACATACCTTCGGCACAATCTCGTAGGGATTGGATTGTTGGAAATAAAATGGGAGCACTGTTATTGAAGTTATTCACAACATTGCGTGCTGTTTGGCTGTATATTCAGGACCATCCTCTAATTGAGTATAACAGAGAAACTCAGACCAGCAGTTCACTTATAGATCTAAATACGTAATGTAGGTTCTAGAGTGGGCTCAAGAGAAAGATACTGTTAATCAGACCCCATTAGTACCATTAATTCACCAACATTTCACACACCAACAACTTTCCGCGTAATCCTCCAACCGATTTATCCTACACAGCTCAAAAAAGTAGTGTAAATTTCCGTTACTATGATGCACATAAATGGAGCGTCATAAATCATACAAGTTTACATTATAAATCGTGTAAATTTATGAGACATTTCGTGCAATATTCCATATATTGTATGCAACTTTCCACCTTTGTTTGCAACATTTCTTGCAAGCTGCTAGTTTACGTGAAAAGGAAGTTTACATGCATGAATGTTTGCATACATGGATGTTTACATCACCAATAAAATTCAGATTTTTTTAGTGTGTAGCGGTTTCAAACCAAAACATTCAAGGTGGCAAAAATACCGGGTTGTCGGGATGGGTATTTTACAAACAATCGCAGCTTGACCTATGACCGGCACAATCGGCACACCTGACCGGCACAACCGCACACACTGACAAAAAAGATGACCTAAGATTGGTGTGCATAATGACCTACTGTGCCTCAAGGCTCAAGCGCAATGACAGCGGAAGCGGAACGGCAGCGGCAGCGGAAAAGCCCGATCTGAGTAAGCCTACTTGTCGGATTGAAAACTAGTTAGAACCAAATCGACTTCGGTTAGGCTTATTGATGTCATTTGTGACAACTGTCAAACTTTCCGTTTCCGTTCCGCTTCCACCCACATTGCACTTGGGCCTTCAGTCTCACTCTGAATGGCTCGGTGTGCAAATGTTCTTAATTTAACTTAAATTGAAACACATATTGCAGCAGGCTGGTTTATGTCACGACATTTTATTTCATGAACAAGGCAAACTAACCACAAATTATCGAATGAGAAAATCAATTTTAAGGGAAATGAAAACGCATACGAACTTTTATGATTAACAACCGGTTTCTAATAGGAAACAATGAAAATACATCATCATGATTTGGCCTTATTCAGGAGACATAATGTTATGCCATCTTTCTTTCAGCGCTAATAGCTATATGATCTAAAACTTCCCGGATGAAGATGTCAAGATCGAAACGTTGATGATGGTAAAAGTGTAATCAGCAGTTTTTCTTTCGTTTCGTCATGAAGTTCCCTTCTCGGAACTTCTCTATCGTTTCAACAATTTTCCCGATATGCATGAGTTACCAACCGAGCCATCATCATTAACCCGGATAGGACAAAATCAACCAACATCAGGCAGTTATTATTCGGACTACATCAACAGATTTTACCGTCAACACGAAGTTCGTTGGCAACAACACCTTAACGCACATTAGCAGAAGTAACTATTTGGTCTCATCAGCAAGCAACATCCGGACTACAGCGACGACGACGACGACAGCGAGCGATCCTTGGACGTGCTAGGTCAGCAGTTAGGTAGCTAGTGCAGGGTAGATTTTAAATATCGATTAAATAATAAAGTAGTTCAGTCTTTAGTTAGCAATTAAATCGTTTAGATCTTCTTTTTTTTTACTCCCATCTGACAGCCATCACCCATCAATTCAGAGACCCCGAAATTTTTACGAAAATTTTGTAAAATTCCTGAAATTCTCAGATTTTTATATAGGGGAAATGGCTCTAATGTTGGCCTAAGGATCTAAGATTGGGCCCATTGAAAATCTACTATTTTTTCAATTTTATCTAGATGAACGCGTCATTGGGACCGTACTAATGGATATTTTTGGTCGCTTTTGATAATTTAGTTCATTACTGACTGGGCCCAAATTAGAGGCATTTAGGCCGACATTACATCCATTTCCAATATTGCCTCGGAACTTCTTGTAAGCTCTAGAAGTTAAAAAAAATGAAACTTCTCTGAAGTTCTCTGATCTTCCTTGAAGTACTTGGAACATCCCTGAAAATAAAGAAACTGCCCAAACGTTTTAAAACTACTCTGAAGTTCTCTGGACTTCCTGGAAAATCACAAAACTTTGATTAGGTTTTCGTGAGGTTCTTGGTACCTCTGCACAATTCCTGCAATTTTCATAGAAATTAACTGAACTGCCCTTAGGTTCTTTGATCTGTTCTTGAAGCAACCTTGAAGTTTTCACAATTGTCCTCAAGTTAGTGGTACTGTCCAGAAATAAATGAAAATATCCTTGACATATTTAAACTTCTCTGAACATTTTTGGACTTCTGTAAAATTCTTCTCAGGAGTTCTCTACACTTTCTCTATAATTCCGTAACTTCATCTTTAAATGGCCTGAAAGTCTGGGCTATGCTGATTTCATTGGGATTGCCCTTAAGATATCTGAGCTGCCCTGAAAATCTCTAGACATAGCTTTCCTGACGTTCTTGGAATTTATTTCCCACATTTATTCTCAAGTTCTCTAGACTTCTCTGAAGTTTTAATTTCCTTGAAGTTCTTTGAATATTCCTGAAGTTATATGCTCCTTTTAAAATATCCTGAAGTTTCCTTGAAGCTGAAAGAATCGCCTTAAAGTTCTTGAAACTTGGCTGAAGTTCCCAGTTTGGTGAATGCCGATCTTACTTGCAAACCATGGGAAGCGATCAAACTTTTATTTCGCATAAACCATGAAGAAAGATCAACGATCAACGTGAGGATGTGCAAGCTGAGGATTAAGGGCCGTTCGCAACGGGACGTCAAAATCATCATCGGCGATGGCGATAGCAAATGAAATGCCGAGCATTGTACAATCAATATATTCTCACATTATCTTCCTTCCTGTATCACTACCTCTCTAAAGTCGTACGTACCTAACGTATAGCAAACTTCCCCATTCCCATTCATGCAATCATGCCACTCTCTTCGACTTCGTCGTAAATCTTAAACTCTATAAAAAAAAATATCCTACCACGTAACTTGTGGCGCAGCTCGATTTTGCGCCATTCCCATACCTGTTATTAGAATCTATGTCGTTTGTTCCTATAACTGGTTCCTGTGATGATTATGTTCGGTAGTTGTGATGATGGCATTTGGTGGTGGTGGTGTTTTCGGTTCTGTCGGAACTCAGTCTCAATGTTCCGACATTTTTCGATACTCAAAACGGACTCGAAGGTGGGTCTGTGTAGTGTAGGAGGATACTCGGGGTGGTGGTGGTGGTGCGATAAACAAAGCTACACCTTACCGACTAAATGTACAACTAAAATCAGCACATGGTTTCGTTGATGGGCGGATCCGTTTCCTCCGTATCCGTGCTGCTCTTGATGTTCGAGGATAGTTTGGCGATTTCGTCCTGCACGATGTTGGTACTGATGCAGGGAATTGGGTCCCTCCCTGTATTCGTATCTTCCGTGCTGGTGGAACTGCTTTCCTTGAGCAGGGCCATCATGGATTTCGTACCAAGCACGCTAAGATTTTCAGCGAAGCGTTTCGATGGAGGTGGCTTAGCAGCCGTGCTGGGTACAACGATCGTAGAGGGTATCACCATCGCTGACGCCGATGTTGTGGGCACCAATCGTTCTAAGCCTTCCGGAGTCGAGCCGGATACCTTACCCAATCCGGGAGACTTTTCTATGCTGAATTGCTTCTTCAGGAAGCCTGGTCGTGAGTCGGAAGGATGTGCCAGCGATGCACTGCCAAGGGAGCATGTCCGCTTGGTGAAACCTGACCGGTCATCCGGTGCAAGATTTGCTCCGGAGAGCATTTCGATCACGGTGGAATTAAGGCTCGTTTCGCCATCCATCGAGAGGTCGTTAGCGATCGAGGAGTTGTCGATGTTGAACGAACTGTTGGTTTCGTTCGAGCTTTGCTTGATGAATTTGTACGGTTGCATGGAGTACTCGGTGTCGGTACTGGAATTCTTCTGCAAGCTTTCGCATGATTTTTTATACATTCGATGAGACGCATCGAAAGATGATGGATTTAGATATGTGGATTGCAGATACTGAGAGTTACGAGGAGAGTTTTGACTGGATAAGGACACTGGGGAATTTTTGGACTCTCTCAACGAGTTCCGGTTCGATACCGTTTGCCGTTCGTTTTTGACCGAGAAGTCATCGGTTGCCGCTGCGCATTCTGCCAGGGAAACAATGTTGGACTTCGACGGGGTAACTGGTAGTTCGATAGCAGTTTCACGACGGAGCATCTTCCGTGGGCCGTACTCTTCCGGTCCATCATCGAACATATTATCGCTTTCATCTATTGAGCAACGAGTTTGCAGCAGCTTCTCCAACATCTCGTAATCACTGTCTTCGCATTCCTTCAGATGCTTCTTTTCGATGAGCGCCGCAAACTCCGGATTGCTCATTTCGCTTACGTTTTTCGGACGTTCATCTACAAGAGAAGAATGGATTTTAATATGACTGAATTAATTTAAGCTTTAAATCGTCTTACCCATCAATGAAGACGTTGGTGAAGCTATCATATGGCACACGCTTTCCAACTCATCTGTGATAGAAGTGTATTCCGCATGGATCGCCAGTAGCAGGTTCCTACCCCGTGTAACTGGTCGTTGAACAGCTGAAATAATCAAAACATTCGTTTTCCCAGGGTTACATTTTGAAGTCAAATCCACTTACGCTGCTCGTTCCCGCTGTCCGGTTCCGATTGTGTCATACTGTGCTGTCGCTTTGCGAAGCCCATCTGATGTAAACTGCTTTGTGACTTGTTGATATCGAACCCGGATGTACTTTCGGAGTTCCTTCTTGGCCCGCCGCCTACCATGGTACTGCTTCTCCGTCGTCCGACCGCCCGCTGTCGCAGTCCATCGTAGTTGGGATCGACAATGTCCTCGGCCGATCCTTCGCCGACCAACGTCCGATCATCGCAGTTCTCCAGTGGGGTAAGGGTATCCTTACTCTCGGTGCTGGCCGTCTCCTGACGGACGTTCAGGAACGGTGTCTTCGGTTTGGTGGTGGAACTTGCCACACCTGCCGATTCCGCTGGAGATAGCACCTTGGAAGGCGGTAGGAACATTTCCGAATCTTCCGAGCGCATGGAGAGCTTGCGATCGTTGGAGATCTGAAAGGAATGATTGTTGGTTATTCACTGGTTTTTGATGTGCGTTTTGCATAATTGATTGTTATGGGTAATTATTTCAATTTGTGCTAAAATTTGGTCATACATCTTTTTCTTCAAATAGCCTAATTTCACATTTGTCCATAACCAAATGTATTACTGCAGGGTGTTAGTTAGCTAGTTTAGGTCAAATTCTTAGCTCGAAAATTGCTTAAATACTTTTGCTTAAAGGTCTTAAAACTACAAATCTAAAATATATTTCATTGAATGTTTCTTGCATTTCCTATCATCCTCCGCAGCGAATACTGCAGATTATGATATAAGTTGACCTTGCAGACAATGCAATGATCTTTTTTTTTTCGTGTGTTGTGTATACTTTTGACTATACCAGCAAGCTTTTTTATTTATAGCATTTTAGAACGACGCACACACTTGTGACGATTTTTTCCAATTCCCGTTCAGCAGAAGAAGCATACAAAAACAAATTATCATACTTTTTTCCCATGATTTGTTTTTCGTCCTTGTTTTCCGTGCAGAGCACCAATGCCATGAAGGCAGCTCCACGCCTGGACCCTACCTATCGACCCATTAACTCATGAACCGGGGACCAACGGCTTTACATCCCTTCCAAAGGAAGGCGTGATCAGAGATGTTAAGCCTCAGAACATCCCGGCGGCACCGACTGGGATTGAACCCAGGCCTGCTGGGGTGAGAGGTCATCACGCTACCACTACACCACGCTAAATTATCATACTGTACGCGATCAAACACTTCCAGCGAGAAGTCAAATTTTCTGCAACGCAATTTGTATTTAGAACATTCCACACGAACAAGAAGAAGAATATTTTCCCTTACGACGGCACGTGTGATTGATGTTCGGTCGGGTCGCGAGTGCATATATATCGGGCCAGTTCACGCGTGACGCTCCAGATTCTCTGCTTGTCCGTCAAGCAGTACAGTTCGGTTTTTTACTCGCTCTCTCGAGTTGTTCGCTAGTTCATTGCGATAGTGTTCGCGCTCGGTGTTTGATAAAGTATCGCACGACCCCAGCATGGGAAACCAATGCGACTGCTATTCCGACCGGGAAACGATCTCGATTGGACACAGATGAACCGATGGTGGAAAATAAGTTGGTGGAAATTGGTGGAAAGTAAAGTTCTCAATTGTACCATGCGCCTGTGTACTGAAGGCATCAATCTGATGGTCACAGATGAAGCACTACAAGCAATCGGTGGAAACTAACGATTTAAAATTGGCTCACTACTTCACTAGCCTATTGGTTCCAAGCTAACGATTAACGTACCCCATTCTAGTCGAAATTCTAATACTCTATTAGCTTGGGACCGAAGAGAGTACCAGAGCTGAGCCAAAAAGTTGAGCACGTTTCTTCGGGACCTTCTGGTCTTCTGGACCTCTATGCTACAAGGCTGTCGAGGCGTTGCTGAAGCAGAAAAAAACGTGGAGTATTTCTGTCACGATATTGAGGCAACCATGCCGCTCAAGATGGTCTTGCGTGGCCTTCCTGACATGGAAACAGCCACACTGTCGGATGAATTGAAGAATTATGAACTCAATCAAATCAACATCTTCAAGATTAGTCGTCATGACGGACCATTAGAACATTCGAGCCCTTTTCCACATCGTGGTGATTTGGTAACGATACAAGCCAGTCCACCGTGATCTCACCCAATGCGCAAACTGCATGCTGTTCGGGCATGCAACGAAAAAAACTGCATGGCCTACCGCTGCAACTATTGTGGCAAGCAGCACGCGCCTGATGCCTGCGAGATAATGGAGGACACAGATCCCAAATGTGCCAATTGTGGTGCAGCACATCGGACATCCAGCAATACATGTCCGAAACGAGCGGAATTAAATAATATCCGCAAAAAGCCTCTATGCAGAATCAACCTGGCCACAGAAGGGTGCCAGAAAATAACGGGCAGAACTTTCCTGCGGTCTCCCAACCGCACCAAGTTCTGGTGCTTCCGCCACTTCCACTCAACAACTGCTGCATCGGTCCCGCCAACAACTGGCGTAGCTAACACTCCGGAAAACTCAAGACGTCAGTCATATGCGGCAACCACTGCATCCTGAAGCACCTCTCCACCTCCGAGGCTATCGTGGCAGTATGAAGGCTCTCCCCCTTCATCAACGATCGAGAACGCAGACTTTCTACTTACAACGGTGGAACTTGTTACACTCGTGACAGAAGTCATCATGATCCAGCGCACCTTCAGGAACCAAACAGAACAGCTTTATGCTGCGATATCCCTCATCAATAAGTATGGACCGTGAAGCCATCAAAATTGCAAATTGTGGAACGTTGCTCGCTAAAGAGCAAAAGCATCGAGTTCGTTGAACTCCTCAACGAACGTATCATCGATAACGCCATCATCACCGAAACGCACCTGACGCCCGAGATTAACGTCTTCCTTCCCGATTTCCAGCTTGTGAGGCTGGAGCAAACCAGCTACGGGGAAAAAGGAGTGGCCATCGCCCTAAGAAGGAACATCTACTGTCGGCTGCTGCCGAGCTTCCAGCTGAAGATAATTGAAGCCGTAGGGGTGGACGTGGCTTACTGCCCCAAACAGGCAACATCATGGACGGGTCGATAGCTGACCTGCGACGAGATATTATCAAACTAACACGACGGTGGGAAAACTTCATCATCGCTGGCGATCTGAACGAGAAACATCAAGCTTGGGCAACAGTCGGCGCAATCAAAACGGCACCATCCTGTACAATGACCTGCAGGAAGCGCAATACAAAATATTGAGGCCGGACACTCCCACCCGGTTGAGTAGGTCCGGTTCACACGCTATCATCGACATCTACACCAGCAACTTGGCCAACAATATCTCGCAACCTGTGGTTTATCAAGAGCTCAGTTCTGACCACTATTCGGTGGTGGCCGAAGTGGGTTCCTTCATGAACCGGAAACGACCGACGTAATCGACCGGTGTCTGCGCTCCATCGATGAAGCGGTTTCCCGGGCCAGGGAGCAACACGTGCCAGTATCCAGACAGGTGAGCAAAACTCTGAACATTGACAGGCCTGCTTAAGACCTCATTAGACTCCGCAACACCATTTGTAGGCAGTACTAGCTGCCTAACCTGGAGACCAATTGCAACCGTTTAAACAAAGTCATCCAAGATGGTGGATCTCAGAAATAACTATTTTGCAAACAAGATTCACTCTCTCCCAGCTGTTCTGGAAAATGGCAAAGATTAAAAAAGCCGAGGCCCATCCCTCCCCTTCCCCTCTTAATCAGAATTCGGATCTATCCTTACTCATAGCCCCAGTTGAAAAGTCCAATGCTCTTGGTCAACAAAGTGTTGTATTCACATAACCTTGACCAAACCATGGTGAGTCCCCACGAGTCTGTAGTATCGGAGGCAATGTCTAGAGTCGCTGCCACCCCCGTAGTTGTCCCTGACAAAAGTAGAATATTGGCTGTTGAGGTGATAGCTGCTATTAATTCAACCAAGAACATAAAGGCCGCCACCTTGCAGCGATCTTCAATAAGTGTTTGGTGCTTGGCTATTTTCCAGCATGTTGAAAGTTAGCCCAATTCATTCCAATCCACAATCCTGGCAAGACCCTACCAGTGCCATAAGCTATCGCCCCATCAGCCTCTTTTCCTCCATCTCGAAGCTATTCGAAAAATTGATACTCAGCCGTTTGGTGAAGTTCTCCGACGAAAATAACATCTTACTCAAGGAGCAATTCTGGTTTAGGAAAGGCCATTCATCGATCCATCAACTAAGTAGAGTTACTAACATTATCAAGCGGAACAATTCCGTTTCGAAAACATGTGCCATGGCATTTTTGGACGTTGAGAAGGCGTTTGCCAACGTCTGGCATGATGACCTAGTGTACAAGCTGCATCGATACAATTTCCCGATTTTCCTTGTTAAGATCATCAAAAACTACTTGTCGGGCAGATCATTTCTTCTTGAACAATTCAATTTCTGATACGTTCGACGTTGATGCTGGGGTTCCCCAGGATAGCTTCCTTGGTCCTATCCTTTTCTACATTTTCACGTCAGATGTTCCTCCCCTTTAGGGTGGTGGAATTTTGTCAATGTTTGCGGATGACACTGCCATCATCTATAAGGGTCGAATGATCCGTGCTCTGACGAGAAAACTTCAATCAGGCCTGGATGTTCTGTCCCACTATTTCAAAAACTGGAAGATTTATATCAATGCAGCTAAAACAAGGACCATACTATTTCTGCACTCCAATTCACCTCGGCTTGTCCCGACTGGTAACTTGAAAGTCCACTTTGATAATATACTTCCATTGAATGGTCGAGTGAAGTTGTTTACCTTGGTCTCACCCTTGATAACAAGTTGCTGTTCCGTTTCCACACTTTCCATTAAAAACAAGCTTGCCGTCCACAAGCAAATCATCCACCCCGGCATTGAGTACGGAACGCAAATCTGGGAGAGCTGTGCAATGTGCCATCACCTAAAACTCCAAAGGATTCAGAACAAGATCCTTAGGATGATCCTCAACAGTCCCCCGTGGATTCGAAATTCTGATATCCACCGTCTGGCTGGTCTTCAGACACTTGAAGAGCGGAGTACGCTCAGCCTCGAAAGGTTCAGAGACGCCTGTCTGAGATCAGATCACCAGATCATAAGCGATCTTGCTAATGAAGTACTAGTAGTTACGTAGGAAATCAAAGTCTTTTTTTTTTAATTCAACCAACACATCAAAAAAAGGGTATTTAAACTTGTTAAAAAACGTAAACACGTAAATTAGAATAACAAATTAAACAAAGATGAAGATACCTTCAGGCTAATCAGGTACTACATACCGCAATCTGCTGTTCATGACCGGGACACCCATCAACAACAACCTACATGAGTTATGGGCGTTGTTAAATCTATTGCTACCGGACTTTTTCCGCAATTCCGAAGACTTTGATGAGTGGTTCAAGGTAGAAGATTGCATCGACCCAGACCACGAACGAGCAGTAAGATTGAAGAAAATTCTGCAACCAATCATGTTGCACCGCATTAAGTCCGATGTCGAATATACTATTCCACCGAAAATTAAAACGACTATGTACATTCCCCCGACGCGAGAGATGAATTATTGGTCCAAGAAAGTGCTCTGTAAGGATATCAAAGTGCCGAAAGGGGACGGAACGGCTGGTAACTTCATAATGAGGATTGTATTTCCATATCTGCGTGAAGTAACTCTGCATCCGTATTTGATACCAGGAGCTGAATCGACATTATCTGATCTAGTCGGGCAAGACATAGTTGACGTTTCGTCTCGAATGGTTGTTCTGGACAAACTGCTTACGAAACTTAGCAAACGTGGTGCTCGTGTCCTACTGTTTTCGCAGATGGTCATAATGCTAGATATTCTGCAAGATTACTTAGAGTGGAAGGGCTACAAGTTCCATCGAATGACGGGAAACACTGAACAGAGATTCAGACAGGAGATGATCGATGAGTTCAATTCCCCTGATTCAGACACGTTTATTTTCTTGACTACCACCAGAACGGGTGGGGTCGGGATCAACTTGCACACGGCCGACACGGTAATTTTCTATGACATCGATTGGAACCCTCAGGCGGACTTCCAGGCCGAAGACCGTGCCCATCGCATCAGGCAATTGAAACAGGTACATGTGATACGGTTCACCGTGTCCGGAACAGTCGACGAATACCTTCACGATTGTTCCAATCGGAAGCAAGTCCTGGATAAAGCAATCATTCGGAAAAGCCTTGGCGATTGTGTCGAGTTCCAAGCAATCGAACACCACAAAAGGAAGCTCGAAAGCGTCAACTGCCTTGACGTGGCGGCCGTCGATGAGCAGCTGAATGAAATGTTTAAGGAGATCGATCGCGGTGAAAGGAATGCCAAGAACGACACTCTGCTGAAACAAATTCGTTTCCGATCAAAGAATTCGCGGTCACGATCGGAGGAGCGCGAGCTGGAAAGTATTAAACCTCCGGTAGAGTCGGTGCCGGAGTTCGATCTGGATTCCACTACATATCGTTTGCGTCCGCGCAAGCCGAAGATAGCCCGGCTGGAATAGATGTTTTAATCTGTATCGTTCAATTTGCATTTGACCACGCTACTCAGTTACCTACTTGCTTGTTAGTTTGTTTCTGTTTTGTTCATTCTAGTTAGTTACCACTGCGAGACGCTTGTCAATGATATTATTTTCTGTTCTATGCACTTCGAATAAACTGACATAACGAATTGGAATGTACGAACAAGGTAAAATCATAATCAATGGAAAATAAACGTAATTTTTCTACTTCTACTACGCGTGACGCTTATTGTTAAATCAGTCTTCTCCAAGTGAAGACCAGAAATATTGACAGAAGAAATAGCAGTAGCAATAGCTGCATCCAGCGGTGCCGTTTTCAGGAGCAGTGCTCTCATACGGCAGTGAAATTGGAGTAGAGAAACAGCAATAAACCAAAGTAGAGCAGCAACGAACTTCCTTCATTAGTCCATATCCTGGTGATCCGTGTCCTTCATTGGTACCGTGGTAGTTGTGTCACAAAAGACCCTGTTCATGGTCCCAGATTTTTCTTCTTTCGGGATGCACATTACCCTTGGGCCATTACTTCACTGTTGGCGTTCTGATTCAGTCCAGCTGATTGCATTGTGTTCATGGCCTAACACATACTATGAGCGCTTCTTATTCGCTTTTAGCCTATCCACATTCCGACGCATGGAGAGAGCAGTCAAAAAAGCACGAACGAACCAGCCTTTCGTTGAATACTTGAAATACCCATACCAGCATAACCATCTCTTATGAATAGGAAACCAAGCAAGAATGTCTCGTGGAAAAAGATAATCAACCAACCAATTTAAGAATATCATCACATATCTGGAGGACCTTAAAGGAAATATTGATGGAATCCTTCCACTTCCGGTTTTCAAGGGCACTAATCTTGACATCCAGAAGTCGTGCAGAGCTGAAAATTAAACTCGGTGCTTGCATCTCTGCAGCAAATACCCTGGATACATTGTGAACTTCGTTACTCACCGCCAGCGATTTCTCCGGGGACCGGTCGCTCTCGTTCTCTTCCGGCACCGTCCGCACCTCAAAGTGCATACCGTCATCAAAGATGTACGCATCCGGTCGAACCTCCGTCAGGGACCTATTCATCTTCCTTCTTGGCTGTAGAGAAACATTATTGCTGTCACTTTCGGATATTGCCCTCGCCCGGGTATCGAACACGATACTTCCCCCTCCCGGACCACCCAGTGCGCTCACATTGTCATTGGAACTGTTAAGATTGTCCTGCAGTTGCGTGTGCGTCGACATAAACCGATGAATCACAGCCAAGTGCGAGAGGATCTGATCAGCCGACTCCTCCACCTTGCGTAATCGAAATTCAATGTTCTGAACCGTGGCCGATTGCATATTCTCCTTCTGATTGATGTCTTCGATCTTCTGAGACATGTTCTCGACTCTTTCGTCGGTATTCTTAATTCGTTCCTCGGTGGATTGCTGCAGCAGTGCATCCTGCTCTCTAAAATAACCTTCAACGCATTCCTCTTCAAAATCGTACAACCGCTCCATGTCTTCTTTTTCCAGAAACAGCTTCAGCCCATTATCTCGTGACTGTTGCAAACCTTTCGCCTTCCTGATCAGGTATCGAAGGAGGGAATAACAGTGACAGAATGCTATCAGAGGAGGTGGTAGGACGGGCTTCTGCTGGTACTCCATCACGACCGTGAACCGTTGGAACATCCAGACCTAAAATTGATCGATCAACTTTTGAAATATCAAATTCATCATTTCACTCTGCACATCGCAACATACCTGGTGTGATACGGCATTCACCTCGATGAAAATATTGTTGAAGACCGCAATCAACAGATTGATGAGCAAAATGTTGGCAATCAAGAGGTACATCGACATGGCAATTGGCGTTACCCAGTGACCTAGAAGGCACAAAGCAATTTGCATCATTACAGAATGGAGGATGATGATTAAATTTTCCAACAGGCTCACCTGTCACGCACTGCGGTTGGGAGGGATCCTCTCCGCACGGTGGATCGATGTCGTCCGCAAACACTTCTCCGTACAACATGAAGTAAGGCTGATAGTAAACGTCCCGCACCAGTCGCCAGCTGGCATCGTTGTTGGGAAACAGAATGGCCTGCCGGCTCACACCGAAACTCATCAACACTACCAGCAAGAGGACGACGAAATAAATCATGTTCTTCACCATCTTGCCCATCATCGTCACCAGTGGTCCTAGGTTTGGGCCATAGAAAACATTGAATCAATCAAGCTTGTCTCACCACATGCCGTAAAACACAAACTCACCTAGATATTTGTTGACACCCAGAATGTTCAGTATCCGCAGATACCAGTAGATGCTGTCCACGCAGTATATCACTCGTCCGACGTCCATGGTGTACGGTCGCAATCGTAGGACCAGCCCGATGAGGAAGAATATGATAGCCGCCGCATCGCACGGGTTCCACATGTTCCATGCCCAGACGGAGAATTTGTGGCTGAAAGAAGGATTGCAAAAACCAAGGTAAGTTTATTTTGGTACACATGTATGGCTATTTTTAACTTACGAAATGGCCACCGGCTCGGACGACACTATCTCCCGTATTTTTTCACAGCCCAAGGTAGTTATGTAAGCTATCGCGTACACTTCCTGCCAGCTCGGATATGGCTGCATTCGTACCAGTACCGTATACGTGAAGAGCACCAAAAAGAACACATACGCCATCTAGAAATTAATGCTACCAATTAATCATCATCCGTCAAAGGGGTTAGTTAGGATGAAACCTACTGAATCGGCCCAAAACTTCGTAATGGGAGCTGTATAGAACTCGTAAAACTTTTTCTTCAACTTGAGCGGCCGCTGATGACGCATATCGTGGTCGTACATGTAGTCCTTGTACTGCGTATTCTCCGAGTCCGTCAGCGAAACCTTTAAGGGAAATATGATTGATTAGTTTTTGATTGAAACCGCTGCTAATAATCCATTGAAATTGGAAACTGCAATCCATACAGATCAATCCGAAATATTAAATCACAAATGGACGTCTAACCGGTTGAATGCAAATCAATTGTCAATAACTTAAGGAAGCGAATTTCGATAAATAAGTGCAGTCTGATTGGTTGCGTTTGCTATGTTTACTTTTAAAAACTAATTCGTTACAATAAAATGAGTACAGACTAAGGTTACTATAGAAATCGGAATTTTAAACACAAGCCATGCCAATTATTGCAGTAACTTTAATGCTACGACCTTACTAAATGTTCTGTATCGTAAATGATTTGAGTACGAACAAGATTTACTGTGTCACAAAATCGAATAAAATTTACTGTTAACCAATAAATGGAGGAAATCTTTTGCTAAAACATCGAGATTATCGAAACAAGAAACGAAACGAAATGTCACAATATCTAGAACTTGAACACTGGAGGAAACAAGGGAAGGTGTTAGTATTGCACTGAAACTAACTTTTGACTTCAGACATCCGGTCAGACCTACCTACAAAATTCAATTAACAAAAGTTTAGCCAACAATCGTGAACTATCACAAGGTGGTGGAGGTGGTGGGTGAAGAACGTGTAGAGTTGGAAATAGTTTAGAATACAAGGGAAACCAACGGACTAACTATCTACTTTCCTCCGAGTAAAGGTACACAGACTGTGTGGAATGCAGCATTTGAAGAGTGGTTGGTTTGAATCCCACTTAGTTAGAACGAGAAAAGTGGTTGCACGATGGGTTAACATAGTTAAACAGAAGCGGGAAATCGATTCGATGGCTGCGATCTATTCGATACTACAGGGTGTCCCACATTGAATTGCATCACGTAAAAAACGCTGTCGAAAATTACTCATTGGGTATTTTCTCTTGAAAATTTGGGTAGAAGTAGTTTAGAGTGAATTGTTTACACTGTATTTTTATCGCTGTCATTTTTCCGAACGTTGGAAAAATCGAGGGGGCGACACATCTAAATCTCAATTCTAGATACTCAAAAAATCTCACACTAGCGAATAAATTCTCGAAGAATCTTCTTTCATTTCTCGCATCTACTTGCATCACGCATAATTTTTTTGCAGGAAATCTTCAAAATCGTGATAAATCTTTTTTCTATCTACTCATCGAACGCGCAGCTAGCCACAGCAAAACAAAATATTTCCTGCATCGTAGATAGAGTCGGCCCCCTCGGAAAAAATGGCGTCACCCGAAAAGCAACGTTGCGAATTGGTTTTGCGCAAGCACCTGGAAAATCCTCAACTCTCTCATTGGGATATCGGAAAAGAACTCGGAATCGTGCAGTCAACTGTGAGTCGTGTGATTAAACGTTACTACGAAACTCTGAGCATCGAACGGAAGGAGAAATCCGATCAGAATGGATGTTCTATTAGTGATCAGGATCACAAGCGTGTCGTGAAAGCATTTAAGCGCAATCCCAATGCTTCGGTCAGGGATGTGGCCAAAAAGTTGAATCTGACAAATATTTTGTTCAGAGAGCCAAGGACCGGGAGGGACTGCATACGTACAAAGTGCAGAAGACTTCAAATCGTGACGAACGGCAAAATACGGTGGAAAAGTCATGGGCCCGGAAACTACACACCCAGATGCTGACGAAGCCTCATTGTCGCATCATGGATGATGAGACTTACGTCAAGGCGGACTTCCGGCAGCTTCCGGGGCTACTACTCTTCACCGTCCAGCACTAGTTTGATGTTCCGGAGGAAGTAAGGAAGCAGAAACTTAAAAAGTTTGCCAAGAAATACATGATTTGGCAAGTGATCTGCTCATGTGGCAAACGGAGTGTGCCGTTCGTGACTACTGGGACTGTAAACGGGGAGATCTAACTCAAGGGGTGTCTACAGGTGTTGAAGCAACACGAGGGCCCTACGATCTTCTGGCCGGATCTAGCTTCGTGCTACTATTCAAATGTTGTCTTGGAGTGGTACGAAGCCAACGGGGTCAATTTCGTATCGAAGGACCTGAACCTCCCGTACGGAAGCATCCCAAGGAGGTCAAAAGTATTGATCAACTAGGTAATTTTCTACAACGTTTTTTTCCGTGATGCAATTTGATGTGGGACACCCTTTAACAGCAAATATCAGCTTATATTGAGAACAGGGTTTGAAATTTCATTCGTTTACGAATGCAGCTATACACGTGAAAATGGAGCATGTCATAAATTTGTATAAAATCGAGTTGTATCTTTTAGAAACTGCTGAAACATTTATTTTTCACATCATTATAGAGATAAAAAAAAACCATGTGTGGAAAATCCGTTCAATATCAGAGCTTAAGGATCACTTAAGGACTTAAGGATCATTAATGAAAGTAGACACCTGTTTCTCAAAGGAAATTATTTATATTGGAACAAATTCATAAGTTCGCTTTATATAAATGAAAATCAACATACAAATGACCGATTTCACGTGAGTTTGAATGTTCACTTCTCATTTCTGAAGAACGCTCGGACTTTTCTCTCGATACCACCCATAAGATTTTTCAAAAACATGTGGATCTGTGATATAAGAATTAATTTGGGGTCGTGGCATAACAATGGACTCAGACGGTCATGGGACCGTCCCCTGGAAGATCTTTAACATCTCTTAAATACATGAAACTGATCCTAGAGCAACGCGTTTTTTTAAACACTTAGAGCTGTGATATAAGAACGAATTCGGAGCTCAGGGACAGCTCAGGGAACACAAGAGATGCTTCCAGGTTTTGCTTTTCTATTATATAAAAGAATTAATTTGGAGACGTGGCAATTATGGACATACATATGAACCCTGATGGTCATGAGATCGGCCTCCGGAAGATTGGAAACTTCCATAAAAATCTTCAATCCACGAAACTGTTCCTAGAGCTTCAAGATTTTATTTATTTTTAAATCATTTGAAACTGGGGATTCTTTAATTATCGGACAGGTTCGGCCCGAAGGTTCTCAGAATGCTATGAAATTTTACCTACAGCTATAGTTTATTAAAACAAAATAATAATAGAAAAAAATAATTGAAGATTTCTGCTTATCTTGGAGATCGCGTACTTTAAAAATCCCAAAGTTCTTTAAAATTAATTTGTTATTGAAATTGTTACGAAATTTTCTCAATAATAATAAAAAAAAAATATTTTCTGAAATACGAAATACAGCAAAAATTGTTTTCCGAGTTGCGGCATTTTTCCTAAACAAACGCTCTTACTTTAATGTTTCTCATCTCTTACTGGTAGTACTTTCAGAGTGGTGCCTCTTACCATTTTTCAAGGTATGGTTTGGTATGGTATGGAAATTCGGGAACTTCCAAAAAAGTTTAAATAAAACGTTCCTGGCAGTTAGTTAGTTTTTGTATTTATAACTTAGAAACGGCATAAGACACCACTTTGAAATTTTCTCCAGTGAGATTATAATGCTATATGAAATAATTTGCCAACCAAGAAGAGATCGATAGTTTTGTTCGAAAGCTGTCCTGATTTTACGAAACAACATACCCAGATTTGGAAGACATGCATACTGCAATAAACAAACTATGCTACTAGCAAATGGCATTTGATAACTAAAATGCCAGTTGAGCAGTATCCAGGCAGAATAGATTTTTTTTAATCGACCGTCTCGTATTCGTATACAGCTTTATTTGATATGGGCAATGATTCAAATATATGCTAAAATTCGGCGAATGAAGCAAAAACACTCGGTGTGAATTTGTTGGAGGTTAGCTCCTTTCCAAGTTTCAGTTAAATATGACTTACTTATCAACATTGAGCGTCAAATGATGAATCGGAAAAACTCATCATTCTCCGATTAGCATGAAACTGCAATGATTCACATTTTTGCTAAATTCCGGCCATTTTGGAATCTGGCCACATTGGATTTTTTTTTTCGAAATGGCGTCCTTGAAATTTTTCAAAAAAAAATGTAGCATGGAAACGGCATTTCTGATCGAAATGACCTCTGCGACAAAGATAAATAATGTCGGTCTGGGAAAAATAAAATAAATGTTTTAAGTAATTTCAAGTAAAAATTCTAAGCAATCACATGTCTTCTTAAAATTCAAACTTCAGTTGCCTTCTTCAAGTTCAATGTGCCATCAAATATTTTCTCAAAACCACTAGTTTACAAATAAAAGTTAAAAAATTAACTTCAATGTTTGACCTACGATTTTTGTATGCTGAATCCAAAAATGTAGTCAGAAAAAATCTAAGATTCAGCTAAAAATTAATTGTCACTTTAAAAAGTTTGTTTACTAAAACACAAATATCTCCGGTTTTATTGAAGCTATATCAAGGATTTGAATGCCAAATTAAAGGTGAGAAAATATTATTTTGATCAGCTGAACATTTATTGTCATTGAGATTTGTAGTATTGTTGTTAATTAATAGCTTGTTTAATTTTGATTTTGATGTTCTGCGTATTTCCAAGCAACATTGGATTTCAGCTAAGTTTTTAAGCAAGGTATTTAAAAAATATTTGTAGTGTTGTGCCCATTGGCGTATCTAGACCCCCCCCCCCCCCAAACTTTTGTTTTTTTTTATTCACCGGTATTTTATCAAGATTCTCAAGTTCGATGTTACTAATCTTTTTTTAAAGTCCTTTATGTTGACTACTGTTCCCTGGGCTTATGGCCAATTTGTAGGATCTGAAGGCATCTTATTATGCCATCGATTGAATATCGATATAATATGATTTCTCAAAATTTCTTCTGCTAGACCAGGACTAGAAATCATATTATATCGATATTTAATTGATGGCATAATAAAACGTCTTCAAGCTCTACAAATTGGCCATGAGCCCAGGGATTTTAATTTAACTTTTAGGAATTTCGTTAAACTTTAATTACTTCTAAGAAGTTCAGGGAACATCGTGGAAATTGAGGAAACTTATTAGAAAATCTGGGAATTTCATAGAACTACAGAAAAATTCGTAGAAACAAGGAACTTGCAAACTGAAAA